GACTTACTGGTCCCAAAGTAAGCGTTCCTGTTGTAGCTGTCACTATAATCCCATAGCACAGCGGCCGACTGTTCATAATATACACTAAAACAATTATGTCCCAATTGGACCGTGTAGGGGCGGACAGAAACTAAGAGAATACTCTACTTCAATTTGGCTCCTCCTCCCAATTTCTCCACAGTAAATAAGACTTACTGTTCCCAAACTGTTGTAGTTGTCACTACAATCCCATAACACGGCGGCTGACTGTTCATAATATACACTAAAACAATCTACAGCAGAATATATGTACATGCCCTACCACATCACAAATGAAAACACGTATCTGATACTTGGTGGCAATTGTAAATATCGTAGCGAACTCAAAGGACCGGTCCGAGTGAAACCCGCGCCCGTGAAATTGGATCGGGACCCACGAACCGATCGCTGGCATCAATAAACATAATGTAATACAAATATCTAGTTACTGACGTTTGTTTTTCATATTGAATATTTTCACGTTTTGCGTTTAGCGGTGGTTATCACGGAACAAAAGATATTGAACAGATGCCTGAATCACGCTAACGATTCAAGATACATTTTGTTTAATTACAATTTCCAAACGATAACATCACGTATAATTTTGTACAAATAGAAAAAAAGATAATGTTTTGATTCTTGATAGAGAGTTACTTTCTATTTCAATTGATGATAGCTCCGAACAGAAGTGCATAGCTATGTGTATGGATAGGTACATGGATTCATGGAATCTCGTATCGAGGACATACAGCAGTCGAATTCAACGCGAGAGAAACAACATCTAAGGCTGTAAACACTACTTCGGGAGTAAAAACATTGATGAATGTGTTTTTAAATCTTTGAACAGAATCGTTGCAGTCAACATCGATAGATTAATAAAGACAATTATACTCACGTACTCGAAAACGCTTCTAATAGTCTGTCCAACTAATAGTCAGTTCGGCGAATACTCATCATAAGAATACAGAAGTAAAACCCTGTCTTTTATGAGCTTACGACTTCTTAGATGATTCCCGAATTTCTTTAATTGAAATGTCCTTGGTGCTCCAAATTATTAACCTCCTAGTTCCTCTTAAGTACTGATAAACATATTACAAATTAGATGGCCATGACCAACCCATTTTTAAACTAATCACGCCTCCTGATCCAAAGGTTAGAACAGCTATTTTAGTAATTGAAACTTCAAATGTATATTTCTAATCCGGCAATGGCTTGATTGTAATTACTATTATCTGTGCCGTTGTTTTTATTGCATAGAGAAATAAATGAAGGTGACAGTTCATTTGGTGTAAAGTGGTTACCGGAGCTCATCGATATTTTTTTATTGCTTAGATCGGTGGACGAGCTCACAGCCTACCTGGTGTTAAGTGGTTACTGGAGAGCCCATAGACATCTACGACGTAAATGCGCCACCCACCTTGACAATATGGTGTATGCCGCCAATCCAAATCACGGTTTCAGTTATTACACACACTTATTTATTACATTTACTCACGCCACGTGGGTCTTGAATGAATGAATAGCTTAGCCTTTGATTAAGATCCATATTGCAATTATATAACCTAGTCTCTTATTTGGATTTTACTTACTTTCTGTACATCTGTTTGTCAATCGACAAAAGCCTCCTCCAACGACGTATATTTTTGTTTCTTTGTAGTTATTTCTGTGTTGTTGGAGGGTTGTGGTCTTTATCCCCAACGTAGACCAATCGGCTTGGGGGAAAACGTGTTTCGCCTGTTTGTTTCTTTTCGTAGTTTGTTTGGATTTTGCGTTTACCGGTTAATTGCTATTGTTTATTGGGTGTAGGTTTGTTGGATGGTAAAAGATTTAGATCTGGGTCTCATTGCCTCGAAGGCATGTATCCTGCAATCTTTGACAGAGCATACATAGTATTTGTTGTTTTCTGGGTTGACTCTTGGAAGGTGACGGTCAGATGGTTAGTTTCCTTTTCCGTTTTTCAGTATTGCATACTTTGACGACTGTATTGCCTTTATTGCTGATACTAAACAACGATATTTACACATAATAGCAAATTGTTTTAACTTAAATCTAATCTAATACATCGGGTTTCCCGGTTCAGTGATCAGCGTGTCCTGTGACACATAGGCCTCTTCCAGCTGCTTCCATTCTTCTCTATTGCTAGCTTTTCTGGACCAAATTGTCCCTCCAATCATCTTTATATCATCTGTCCATCTTCTAGCTTGCCTACCTCTTTTTCTTTTACCATCACGTGGCTGCCATTCTGTTATAATTTTAGTCCATTTCATTCTGCTTTCCCTTGTCATATGTCCTGTCCATCGCCATTTTAACTGTCTTATCTTCTTTAGTACATCTTCCACCTTTGTTGTACATCTAATGTCTGCTGCTCTTTTGCGGTCTTTTAGCGTCACGCCTAACATACTCCTTTCCATACTCCTTTGACNTAACAAAACTTTTTTTTTTTTTTATATTTTTATAATTCCAATACTAAAACAATAGATTGCGTGTAACGAAACGTGATGTTCTTATCTCTGATGTTGGTAGCACTGTTATAAAATGCCAAAGTCAGCTATTATTTATAGGTTATGTTATTACAAATATTTTTGCACTTATTTTGTTCGGAGCAAAATACTCAAGTTTTTTACCACTTTATTTGCACTATTAGTCCTTATTATACGATTCACTTGCAAAGTTTATAGTTTTATTCAGTATTTAAACAGTTATGTTTTTATATTCTTGGAGCAAAATTTGTGACATTTGTACTATCCAACGGTCCAACCGGAACTTTGACGACTAGTTTGTCGTAAATCAGAAAAGCTATATTTATCTTTTCTCTCTCTTCCTTCAACCGTGGTACCAGTGTTTTTCTTTTCTCCAACATTTCCTTCAAGTAATCCTCCGATACATAAATGTCCTTAAAGCTCTTTCTATTCTTCATAATTTCATCTTTTCTCGAATGTATTTATAAAGGAACATAGCACTGGCCTTGATTTATTCTGAACTATATATTTTCCCAAGCGGTATAATTTGTTTATTTCGGGTTGCTCTATATTTATGTTTAGGGCTTCTTTGAAGGTTATCTTGACATTGCTAAATAGCTCCGACATCGAGGTTTCTCCCTCTTCCATGTCGAAAATACTTATGTTTTTACTTTTCTTTTCTCTCTTGAAATATTTTATCTCTTCCTCTAGATTGAAGATTGAAGTCGTCGTGGCCTAAAGGATAAGACCTCCGGTGCATTCGTATCTAGCTATGCACCGATGTTCGAATCCCGCAGGCGGGTACCAATTTTTCTAATGAAATACGTACTTAACAAATGTTCACGATTGACTTCCACGGTGAACGAAAAACATCGTGTAATAAAAATTAAGCCCGCAAAATTGTAATTTGCGTAATTACTGGTGGTAGGACCTCATGTGAGTCCGCACGGGTAGGTACCACCACCCCGCCTATTTCTGCCGTGAAGCAGTAATGCGTTTCGGTTTGAAGGGTGGGGCAGCCGTTGTTTACTGAGACCTTAGAACTTATATCTCAAGGTGGGTGGCGCATTTACGTTGTAGATGTCTATGGGCGCCACTAACCACTTAACACCAGGTGGGATGTGAGCTCGTCCACACATCTCAGCAATTAAAACAAAACAAAAAAATTAAGATCACTATTTTTTTTTTAATTGTTCATTTTCTTCAATAATAGGACTAAGTTTTTCATCCATTCTATCCATTTATTTCTTAGAAAGCGATTCAGTTAGTTTAGCTATTTGCTTCTGCATTTTTGTCTTCATATTATCAGATAATAGTTGGAATTGTTCCTCCATATTTTTGTGCAAAGCAACGTGGAATGGAGCGTGGTATAGATAGTGATATTATTTTTCATGTACTGGCAACACTGAAGCTGATGCCAACTTGACAAAATGGCATTTAGTATTTTTATGGAGGGCAGAAAAGTATTATATTTGGCAGATTTTGTCATTGAATGCTCTAAAAGTTGTTGTGGATTTTCTTTTGTCTTTTACTGAACAGATCCTGTTAATATCCCAGAGATTTATTTCTTCTGCGCCCACTGAAGTACTGATTATGTGGTTTATATAACAGTGTTAACAACTAAAGCAACTTATAACTATTTTTTAAACACGATTTGTTACGGATATAAGCACAGTGGTGTTTACACTTCAACGACCGGAAACGGACCCTGGACGGACATGGGTCTTACCAAATAAATAAATAAAACAGTAATTTAAGAACCTACAACAAAAGTAATTTCTTCCCGCCTTCCTTTATCTCTTTCAGTAACAGCGTCCTTGATATATTTCCAGCTCTTTCAGAAATTCACGATAAACATTGTTTTCATAACAAACGCTTAACTTTTACCTTTACTGAACGTCATTTTGTCAATATTTGTTATTGCTATCTTTATCAAAAGATAGCTTGGTACACCCGTCACGAAAAGTGCTATGACATTTATTACATTTAAATTTGATACATCCGCACCATGAAAATGAACATTTATTCATGTAATAGACTTGGTACGATTTTTTTCATTTTGTTACATTATTAAATGTAGCTATTGTGAATAATTCTTAATTTAAACGGCTACTTTATTACTTCAAAAGAATCCTAACTGACCCACAATATCTGCGTTTTTGTAACAAAATAGTGTATGTGTGTCAACAAAAACCTTGAACTAGGTTTTCGGCATTCTTATCAATGTGTCTATCATGGATATATGTAGTGGTTACTCAATGTTAATAACAAATTTTAGTCTAAATCAAAAATCCTTTTCACGTATAAAACTACTCAATTTCTTTATCCTTCAGTTAATTTCAATTCTTCTAGGGAACAATATTGAATGAACAAAACACTGTTCTGAAATAAAAATTCACTGAACACTTTTGTGTCTGATGTCACTCAGTTAGAACGCGCGTCGCTTATCTCACACCAATCTCTCAGTCACCTCCAGCATTGTGTAGCAGTCGTTATACAAAAAAAAAAACAAAAAAAGAAATCATGAATATTATTCACGTTTTCATCGCAATCACGTTTATGAAATACTCAAAATGCTATGTCATTGAAGACTCGGGAAAAGTGGACGGACAAAAGCAGCTATTAAGAAAATTGGAAATTTTACAAGAACCAAAAAATGAAATATCTACATCGCAAATAGAAAAACCAATTGGAGTGCCAGAAAACGGAACAAGCACAACGCAGCAAAAACAAGAAAATGAAACGGTCCTTAGAGAAGATAAGGAGAAGAGTTGTCTAACTCTGTTCTTCGATCAGGTTGCCAAAATATTCAAACACTTATTTTACGGGGACGCTGATAAACCGAGCAATTCTAGAATTGAACTTCTCGAATCGGATTTTGCAGTAACCAACGATAGTGGAACTTCAAGGGAAATATCCAATCATCACGACATATTTACCAACAGATTCGACTTGACTGACCCTAACGCTGAAGTGGAAATCTTCGAGCCGAGGTATCACGGTCGACTGAAAGAAGAGACTAAAGAAGCATTGAAATGTCCTGAAGGATACATAATGACGCCCAATGGTTGTACCGTGAGAAATTCTAAAATGATTATATCGGTGCCTAATCAATGTCCCATTGGATATAGACAAGATTGGTTGGGATTCTGCAGGAAAATAATGTTTTTCGGAGGAAAAATTGCCTACAATGATTATTAGTGGCTTGCAATGCTGAAATTATTTTCAGACCTTTCTCGGTGATTTGTAAAAAAATCAGTTCACTGTTTGTATAATATTATTTTAATAGAAATTACAAGATACCTACATATTCTGTAAAGGAAGACAATGTATGCCTGGTCTGAGGTAAACCGTATCCCGAAACATAAATATAGAATGATTCAAAAGTTTAATAATCTCATACAATAACAACGTTGCGACATTTTTAATTTCTTATTGTATTCGTTTCGTGTTATTTTGTATTTTGAATTCAAGAAATATATAGATAAGGATGAATACAAGGGATAAAAAATAAAGTTGGAAATGAAGGTAGACGGTAATGTGAGAGGGGTGACTTAAAAGACGGACTGTGTGAAAGGAGATATGCGAGAGGATAATGTGAGTGCAGAGATACCCTGAGCCGACTTCATATAGTGGTATAAGAGCAAGAAGAAAAATACAAAGAATAAAAATTAGTGAATATAAGAATACTGGTCTAAAGCCTGTCAAAAAAAGGATCAGAGAACTCTTGTGTAAAATGTATAACGAATCAACATATATTCAGCTTTCGGAAGTACTTCACTTATTTCAATACCTTAGTCTCATCCAAAAGCTTGCATGTGACTAGAAGATGTATGGAAATGTTAGTGCAAGGTAGAGGGGGAAGAGGTCGACCGAAGAAGACATGGATGGAGTGTGTGAATGACGATATTAGAGAGAGCGGAGTGAGTGTTGAGATGACGGCTGATAGAAGAGAATGGAAGAGAAAAATTAGCTGCGCCGACCTCACCTAGTGAGATAAGGTGGAGAAAAAGAAGAGTCTCATCCAAAAGTTTGCTGACATAATTCCGGTCACTTCCGGTCACTTTAAGATAATTTTCATGACTATTTCGAAAATATCAAATAACTGAAACCCGTGTCATAGGCAAGTGCACTTCTAAATTATAACGCAAAAGCAATAGAACTCATAATCAGTTGACTCTTAGACAAGCTATTGGCAATGTTATTAACGTGAATTCAACAAATTCGCTGGCTCGTCTCTCAATAGTGAATCTTCAAGGTCATCATTTTAATTTATCATATAGTTGAAGGTCTTGTTTACACTCGAATAACATATTATATTAAATATTTTATGAGTTAAATCGTGCTGTTTTAATAATTTTAGTTTTACAACAACGAGAACCTTCACATGTTCCATAAACGGTCTTTGAAAAGAGATTCTCAAAATGAAACTGTAGTAATTTAGATGAACGAATTCTCCATTTTAATATGAAATCTTACGCTTCTTGTCAAACATTATGTTAAGCTTTCATTTTAATCTATAAAAATAGAAGATAGGTAGATTTTTTTGTTAATTAACGTGTAGATGTTTAACATTGCTCTGAGGAATTGTTTGACATTATCTCATCATCTCTTTTTTACCATCGCACTATCCACCACCGGAGTAGAGGTCATCCATACTACCTGGAGTTACTGCGTTTATTTATTTATTTATTTAAATAAGTACTGCCACATCACAAACATCTAACATTGAAAATAAATTTAAACTATTTAATTTATGGCCTGATGCATGTGACAACAATGGCGTACATAGCATTGGGTTCAACCAAAAGATTTTCAGTTTCCAGAGATGTTTTTTTTCACGTATCATCCGTCTTTGGAATGAGCTCCCCTCCACGGTATTTACCGAGCGCTATGACATGTTCTTCTTCAAACGAGGCTTAAGGAGAGTACTTAACGGTAGGCAGTGGCGTCCATGGGCGACGTTAACTACTGATCGTCAGGTGAGCCGTATGCTCGTCTGCTTACAAGGGCAATATCAAGTAACAAAGAAAAATATATATATTTATACAACGTGTTACAAAATACCACAAATACAAAATGGTAGGACCACTTGTGAGTCCGCGCGGGTAGGTACTACCACCCCGCCTATTTGTGCCGTGACGCAGTAATGCATTTCGGTTTGAAGGGTGGGGCAGCCGTTGTAACTATACTGAGCCCTTACAGCTTATATCTCAAGGTGGTTGGCGCATTTACGTTGTAGATGTCTATGGGCTCCAGTAACCACTGAACATCAGGTAGGCTGTGAGCTCGTCCACCCATCTAAGCAATAAATAAAAAAAGTCTACTCTAACCAAGATAAGCTGCAGCCCCAATCACTTTTATATCCAATCTACCGTCTCAATCAACTTCAAGATTCCCGTTCAACCTGGAAGCCAAAGTAATTTCCGTTTGGATGTAACAAACAACTCGTTTTTACAATGGACAGACAATCGGGAGACCCAATTTCACGGTGTGCCGAACCCCAAAGAACTGTATAGGTGGTTCCGATCAATCGCCCGCCGCAAAGAACGCGACCGCAAATTGCCTGCTGCTTTTAGGTTCATATATCGTAAATACGCTAAATTGAGCCCCGATTTTGCGGTTGCAAAATTTCGTTTTAAAATTTATCGCAGAGTAAATCGAACGCCGCTTTGAAGTATTTCTTGGATAATTTGCCAAGGAACAAAGGCATTTATGGTCTGTTAGTTAAGGTAGTCACGTCGTGGATCCTGTAGAGATACCTATTGTTCTAAGAGAAGCGGGTAGCTAATTGAACTATGACACTTCGATGATAAAAAGATATAAAAAGATGTGTGGTGTCGTGGGACACCGGATAGGAACGAAGTTCTTATAAAAATTTTAATTTTAAGTTATATTCGAGGTATAAAGAAAATAAAACTGCAGGTTTCGCAACAACCCACGTTCATTCGGTAACGTGCGAACTTATTGTGGTACACTTCGTTCACGGTTGTTTGCATAAGAGTTAGTGTATTGCGCAAACGAACGCTCTGAGATCGCGGTCAATGAATGATAAAAAAATATGTTATTTTTTGTACGTTATTACAAAGTTTAGTCGTACACTGTGTTGTGCATTACTAATAAAAATCTTACGTTACGGACGTTTTTTCCCAGTTAGGGTACCCCTCCGCATCGTCCCATAAGGAACTTCGTTCTAAAAGAGAGGTATGTAATATAGTATTCTGCTTACGGGCAGACGATTTGAATTCCTACGGTTCTTAATTCGGCGCTCAATAATCATCCTCGAAAATTGTGAAATAGCCCTTTGTTCACATGTTCTTGTTAAATAGGCTATACGATTCTCATAGAAATATCCACCAAGTAAGGTCATATCAAAGTCGATTCAGTCGATATCCAGAGCAAACCGGACAAGTTAGACAAATATTGAAAAACGCGTATTTGGCCAAATACAAAAAAAAAACAATACATATATTATTATTTATTTGACTAGAGATTCCTGTCCTCGTTTCTTTTGACTATTGCGAAATAAATATCTATGTGGATCTATGCATTTAATCTATGTAAATATTGCATAATTATCCAATATATAGAATAAATGATGCATCCAAATTTAATGTGGATATGCATATATTCTGTGCTGATCAGAAAGAGAGATGAGAATTTTTTTTTCATTAACACAACAGCGAACACTAACGTGACAACAATATGAAATTCAAAAGTTACTCAGCCTAACTATATCATAATAAAGACATAGAGTCGATAAATATTATGTATGCAACGGTAGGTAGCGGCTTGGCTCTGCCCCTGGCATTGCTGACGTCCATGAGCGACGGTGACCACTTACCATCAGGTGGGCCGTATGCTCGTCTGCCTACAACGACAATTAAAAAAAAACGCGTATTCAAGACCGACTTAGACACTGAAAGAAGACACGGCCAATTCACGATATCTAATTGAGACTTCTGCCTGAGTCTCCAGCTGGTTGATAGCGATCACACCGTGATGTATATAGGCTATGAGCCTCGTGTTATCTATTAAAAATAAGCACCCAATACGAGACGAATCGAGAAAGGATCATGCTTTAGCAAGATATCTCAAAACCTAGTGCGCAAACAAAGTCACGGAACACGCGAGAACGTTCTACCGACAAATTGGCAACAAACATCCTCGAGGAGTAATTAGTGGAGCTAGAGAAACTTTTAATGAGCGAATGGAACCGTGCACGGGGATGCGACGGTTTGTATGTAGCTAAAAATATTTAAGCAAAACTTTGCGATCAACCATCAACTCAGTACCAGAAGTTTTGCACATATTATGATGCAACGGCCCCGTTACCATTTGATCCCGGTGGAGAAGCAAAGGGCTGGCAGGTGATTCACTGGTGGCAGTTCAGCATTGAGTCGCGAAGCAACCATGAGCTTTACTTCGCAGAGTAAAACAGGCGTGTATTTGAGACTACCTCCTCATTCCTAAGCGGCAAAACTTTTTAATAATTCCCTGTAAAAAGTACTTAACACCTGATCATACTCACTCTAACCGGCGCCATCTAGGTGGGCTTCGAATAGCCTGCCGACCGAGAGGGCTGGTGGTCGTGGCGCCGACGACCGCCGGTCTGGCGTCCCAAGGGGGAGGGTGATGGGAGAGATGTGCTCCGCACTAAACGCTTCACTTTCCACCCTTTGCCTTTTCATGAGTTCTGTCTCATGCGAGGTTTGGACGTTGGTTGTTGAGCGACAGGAGGTTTTAGTCAGTTCGTCTCTGACATGCCCCGCCCTCCAGCCCCAGTGGAGGGCGGACGTCCGACCATTTCCTCCTGACCAAAAAAAAAGAACACCTGATACTGATATGTGTATAAAACTGCTCTTCTGATGTAATAAAATAGTTCAAACTTCATATCTCAGATAGACAACAGCAGGATATGTGAAACTTTGACGCAATATTGAAAAAAGCGCCTTCATAACTACTCCGTTCTTCTAGCTGGCCAATGATTTAACCAATTAATATTTAATACGAAAAAAATATCTAATGACGTTTACAGAAAATTACGTCTTTACTATGTTCATTTTACTCATGTCTACTGTAATTCTTTAAATTTTCGCCATGTATTGACTTCATCACAGCTAAGCACTTCTTGTATCTATCACGTCATCAACGAGGGTTAACTTGAAGAGAATGCCTGCATGGCATTAAGTTCGCCTTTG